TATCTAGTATAATACGTATGGGATTTTAGAAATATTGATTTTTGAGTGATTGGCGAGCATTTGAATAAAGTCGTTCATTTTTCGACAAAAAAAAGTGACATTATTTGGCAATAAAAAATGTTTAGAGCAACGTATCAAAAATTCCATACGTATTGTACTTCGAAATGTTGTTTTGAATGTACAGTAAAAAATTCAAGTGAAAATATTTAAAATTGTTAGAGTTATACTGCTTGCCGCGTTGAAGAAACGTGTTTCGAGAAAAACGCGTTTAAAGTTTGGAGTTGTATTATGAACATACACGCGTAAACACGTGTTTCTATATGAAAATCCTTCTAAAACTACCTCTAGAAACATCTAGTAGTGTCTCACATAACTTAGAAATCAATAAGCAAGGTATTATGCACTACTCTCTCGACAGGTTTCCACCTGGAGCCGTTTCGGAGTCGCCCGACTCGTTCGGTACACAGCTCGGAATTTCGATGAAAAAAATTAGTTTTACGTATAAAAGTTTTTTCCTCGTATTCTACAGGGTTCAAAGGATTTTTTAAGCCCAAAAAAAAAAAATTGATTTTTTGAAAATTTTACAGTGGTGTTACCCCTTAATCATCCGGAAGTTCGCACAGGATCTTTCGCGAACTTTCTCTCACGTCGCGTTTTCGATCATGGAACTATGAAGGGAGGAAGATATTCCGGCGGATGCGAGAGGAGGAATGGAGGGCAGAGGGAGCGGGTCATTGATTGCCCCCTCGTGCACGCAAAATAATATTTGCATACTCGTGTCATAACAGTGCTCAGCCGTATGGTATTTAATAAATCGCTTCGACGTTTTGTGCCTCCGTTCCCCCGACCCTCTCGGCCCCCCGTACCCCCACCTTCCGCCATTTCGTACGTGCCGACACATTCATATAGCGGCAACCCGTGTTCCGACGGTGTTTTGTGCGAAATCGCTATTGACTTGGACGCGATAACAATTACATCGCCGCGGGCCGCGAATTTTATGGAAAGCCTTAACACAATATTGCTGATCGCGATCACGCGAAAACAGTTGCATTTTGTTTGACGAAGAAGCGAAGCGTCGAGTAATTATGCGTTCGCGAAAAAACACTCGCGCGGGGCCTCGATTCTCTCGCGAGGCAGCCCGAGTAGTACTCGCTCTTCTCATGTCACACGTTGTTCAGCGATAAACGCGCATTCTCCATTTCCATGACGTACTTGCGTCCGAATGTGTAAAATTCGTAGTAGATAAGAGAAAAAAAAATGTAACTAATGGACCCTCATCGGTCCATGGCCCGGACAGCGTATTGATAAAATAGTTAATAGACAATACTTCTGAGAAGAGTAGCTTAATTCTTACAATTAGTGTTTAAAGGAAAGTTACAAGTTACAATGTTACAAAGTACTCTGTATAGAAGTGTAATCAGAAAATTGGTTTTCTGGAAATAAAATTGGTAGATGAAAAGTATCAAAGGTGTACCTGTGTTTTTTAATACAACTCACACATTAGCAAATAAAATTCTTTTAAAAGTCCAAGCAGAAGTACAATTTACGAATGGCACGACTGTTCACGCGCTTCACGATAATCCCTTCTACATCATTTCCCAGAATATTCGTTTACGGCGTGCTCAAATATTCGCGTCGCTTTGCAGCGACCTTGGACAATTTATACGAAATTACACTGGCAATCGCGTCCGGATAATGCGATCTGTCTCTTTCTGCAACTGCAGTGCTTTGCGCGCATAAATGCTTGTGATAGAAATTAAAACGTTTTCACGTTCTTTACATCGATTCCTTTTTCACGCTTCGTTCTCTCTTTCGATAACGGAGGAAGAGGAGGAGGAGGAAAAGGATGGTATGGAGATGTAACGTTATTTCTCGGAGAAAATCGTTTTTGCTGTTAGTGTGTCGCAATAAAGTTCGACTAAAATAACTTCCGCTTCCCTATTGGTGCTTTTTAATCGTTAATACATGCACAAGAGTGCGATGTAATTACAGTTTCATCCTACCATCTCGTCATTGTCTTCGTGGTCTCGTTATTACCGTTAATAGGGATAAAAATGCTGTACGAATGTATACGGATAAACGTTCGACGATATTAATCATACGCCAGTAATCGCGTTGTAGCGTGTGTTTTCCGGCGGCCTGCAACTGGCTGGATGTTGCGCTTTCTCTCGCAGTTGCGTGATCGACGTAATAATATTTTTCGAGTGTGTATACGAAAGGAAATGACGAGAATGAAGCGTAATTGCCCACGAATTTCATTCATTCACAAATCTATAACTGTTCCCAAATCGTCGCGGTATATTACATTTATTTTTTTAATAATAAAATAAAAAATATATAATTAATATAATTGGGGATTAAAATTAACAAGAGAATAATAAAGGTAAACTAAGGTGAAAACTAAAACACAGTATAAGAAGTTGATAAGATTAATCAAACAGGATTCGTATAGAGTTGAATGCACACAAGCGCATTCACTCACGCTCACACTTTCACTCATTCATGCGATCGTCAACGATGCTGATCTCGTTTTCGTTGCCCATCAGATTTTTTTTTCCTTGATCTTGCACATCATCGTCCGGGCGGCAGCAAAGCGCAAAGCGACAAGCAGGCGAGCGGACAGCGAGAAAAAATGACGCGAGCGTTTGGCCACGCGAGCAACTCATTTTTTTCTCTGGACAACCTCTTTTGGCGATTGCACTCACATGACAGCCTACTTTGTTGTCCCTACGGGCGCGGATATTATTTACACGGCGGAATATCGGCCCGAGAGAGATATTAGCTTTCAGAAAAATATTTTTCAGAGCGGCGAACGCGCGCGAGCGGCGAAAAAATACCGCCCCCGGGCTTACGCCCCGGTATATTAACGCCTCCGGCCGTTCCAGTAGTTTGTTGTGCGTATGAAACCGGTATGCACGCCGATCTCCGTTAGTTCCGAGGGGGATCGATGTCTTTTTGTTTCCTCTCTCTCTTCTTTCTCCGCTCTCTTTCTCTTGCACCCTTTCCTCTCTCTCACTCTCTCTCCCTTTTTTTTTCGTCCGACTGTATATCCATTTACCGTCTGGCGGAAAGGGTATAAATTCGAGGGTTTGGATAAAACCGATACCGCCGCAGCGAGCGAAGCGCAACGCGACGCGTAAGAAACGCGCTCCGAGGCACGGACGTTTCAACGCGGCGGCGGTACTGCCGTGACGGTGACAGGAAAAATTCCGTAGTAATTCTTTGCGCAGCATGGAAAAATTTCTCCTATCGCTTGAGAAAATATTTTCAATCATTTTTACGGGCTAAAATTTCACCTAAGGCGGTAGCAGAAATAAAATTATTGAGCTTGGAGTCTGGTTTTCGATCTGTGATAATTGGCACTTCATGCTAAAACGTATATTCGCTTTATATAATCAGTTAATATCTCTAATATTGCAAATCAGAGTAAAAATGAGACTTCCCATTCTATTTTCTCATATATC